CATTTTTTTTTTTAACTGAAAAAAAGCTAATAGAAAAATAAAAAAACGCACTGTTAAAAGTAGAAGAAACTTGAAATTTATTGAAAATAATGTCTCCAAATAAAAACAGATTTTATAATAATTATTTATTTTATTTTTACATGCTTTATTTTAAAATGTTATATTTAATGTTATATTTAATATAAACGTTAAAAATTATAAAGATTATAATTATTTTAAAGATTTGTGTGTATAATAAAATAATTAATGTTAAATTAATTTCTATTCTTATTCAAAAATATTTAATAAATACTATATAGTTTTGATTTTGAGTTGATCAGTTAATTATTTCTTGATCCATATTATCTCGGCTTGGTCCATTTTACCCCATGGGATGGTCCATTTTACCCCACCTATGGGGTAAAACGGACCAAAATTAAATTTTTTTAAATCTTAATAATAATTCAAACTTTTGCAAATTTTGAAAATTTAACATTATAATCTTATAATAAACATTCTACAGTTTCTTCATGCTAAATTTCAATTATTTTTTGTCATTAATATAAAAAATATAGCCATTTTTGCTTAGGGGGTCCGTCTTACCCCACCTTCCCCTACATTGGAGACGGAGACTCTAAAACGTACAAGGCTATTTTAGATCTGAATCCATACGGAGATGATTTTCCGGTAGTGAAAAGCGAATGCATTGGACATGTTGAGAAACGAATGGACAGTCGGCTCCGAAATATTAAAACAAAAGAGAAACTTGGCGGAAAGGGGAAGTTGACCAACGTTTTGATAAAAAAATTAACAAAATATTATGGATTGGCAATTAGGAGAAATATTGAATCCGTTGATGATATGGCAAAAGCTATAATGACATATTATCATTTATGCTCCACGAATAAGAAGCCAATGCATGAAAACTGCTCGCCGGGACCTGACAGCTGGTGCAGGTATCATGTCGCTCAGGCCTCAGATACAAATTTCGATCACCCGCCTGCGCTTCATCCAGATGTTGCAAAGCATTTATTGCCAATTTACAAAGATTTATCAAGGAAAGATCTGTTAGAAAGGTGTTTAGGCGGGCACACACAAAATGCCAACGAAAGCTTCAACTCCACGGTTTGGCGTTTAGCTCCGAAACACCTACATTCCGGAATAAAAGTTATTGAAATTGCCGCCTACATAGCTGCTGGTGTTTTCAATGAAGGTTATTATGCAGTCTTGAAAATAATGGAAACGCTACAAATCAACATTGGACAGCAATGCAAATTTTTTGCTGATACATACGACGCCGAGCGGGTGACTAGGCAGGAGCGCCGCAGTCTAAGTAACACTAGAGAGGCTCGAATGGCTCGTAGACAACAACAAATCGAATTAAACGAGTTCTATGAGGAAGCTGAAGGTTTGCTGTATCGGTGTGGAATAGCAAATTAGCGAAAAACAGCTGTAAGTTTCAAAAAATTGCTTTTCTCTTTTACTTTTCGGTACCGAAAACTTTAAACGCGTTTTTCTCGAAACCAGTTTTTGGCAATTGGCGGGAAAGATTACTCCAAAAACTATTCGATCAATCGAGTTGTCCCTGTGCATACATATAGTTTAATAATGTAAATTGTCGATAAACCTATAAAATTAATAAAATAATTAATTTAAACAATTTTTTTTGCATAAATAAGATGACATTTTGTGGGTAAAAATCGCAATTTTTTTTTAAAAGTCTGCCATTTTTTCAATTTTCAATTTTTTTGCTT